CAGCCAATATGGCTTCTTTTGGCAGCTTTTGTGTAAACACTATGGGGGCATATCTTTTGTAAATATTCTATGTTTTGATTTTTGTTATGCTTGGAAATTATGTCAAAACTTACAATTAGCCTAAAGTTTATGCTTTAAATGGATGTGTGGTTAGCACTGTTGATGGAAATTTCTTTTTGATTTATGTGATCTTTGTACAAGTATCTCATATTTGTTACATGTTCTCTTCAAATATAGGGGAGGTTCTGTTAATTTTTAAAAAGAAATAAAGGTGATTTCATACTATTAAAATAAATCAAAGTTTAAAGTTTCATTAAAAAAGAGTAAAAATAAAAAGGAAGGGTTATTGTGGTCGGACGTGCACTGGAGAGGAGGAATAGTAAGAAGGGGACAGGTTGAAGGGGAGGTGTTTTAACTACACAAAGTTAATAAGGGATACAAGAGTAAATTTTCAATATTTTAGGCATAGTATGGTCATTTTAAACCAGTTGTTTGTTATATTTTTCCGTTAGACTTAACACTGTTAGATTGGAGAGTTAAATGAGAAAAGTTAAGGGGTTAAATAATATTTTTGAAAGTTGAGAGTGTTATCTATAACACTCTTAAAATTGAGGGGGGTTTTATATAGTTAAAATAGTTGAAGGAATTTTTTTTTTTTGAGACAAGCCCCATCCATAGTTGAAGGGGGTTTTCTAAAAGTTTTATAGCAATACCCATTTGTTTTCTACAGCTCCTAATCTGCCTTTTTTCTATCCCCGTTTCTTACCGACCGGCGCTAATACTATATGTTTCCCTCCAGTCCTAAAAATTACTTCTCCTTCTCCTTTCTTCAAATCTAACTACTGTTTTATTCTTTTTTTAATTAGTGCTTTTTCCGTTATCTCAATTGATGTTCTGTCGGTTGAGGAGAAATGCTATCATCCACGTGGAATCAAAAATCTTGCCAATGTCAATGCTTTAGCTTAGTGATTATTTTTTTAGAGGAATTAGCAGACTTTTTACCAACTAAGTTCCACTTTCTGATTGCTTAATTATATATTCGAGAAATTTAGTGTAAAGGATATACTCAAATATATTTTGAATGATTTTTTTTGCACGTTGTATCGTGATTCTTTAACCTGATCTATATTACTCTGCCTAAGTGTATTTTGACAAACCTAACGAATTTGCAAAAGTTCTATACTGAAAGGAAAGATTCTTCTAAATTCGTAATAGAATGATGAATTAGGTGTTTGAGGTTTTTGATTCATGTAACAAAATTTGCATTTTTAAGTTTAATTAATTTATCCTTAGCTTTTTTTTATAGCACGAGCAGCAACTAATTGAGGAACAAAGTTAACTGTTTGCCTTTCAAATGAGTATGAGTCATTGTAGAAAATCATGGAGTAAAGTCTTGTAAACTTAAATAGATACAAACTCTTTGTCCACCAACTTTTTTGTCTATTAATTTTGCATTCAGATTTGTGCTAACATGTAATACAAATGAAGACACAAATCTCAAAAATAGCATTGATGTATAGTACAAATCTCAAAATATAATGAAGAGATTAAAAGTGCTCCTATTCACTTAAGTTTATCGAAACATTACTCTTTCTTTTGTACAATTGAAAACAAAGTGCAAAATCCAATTGTGTAAGATGCTTTATGCACAAATTAGCCTGCTAATTTCGGTTCCCATTCTAATGGGAAAAGTACCCTGCCCCCCGGCAATTGATTCCCAAAAACACTGTATATACCCTAAATTACAAAATGGAGCAAATATATGCGCTCGTGTGAATTTGTTAAACGATGTTTAATTCCACCGATTAGGACAAAATTGCCCATTTTCAAAAATAACCCTCATAGTTGAAAGGGGTCGGTAAAATTAAATCAATACAATCAATGATATGTTACATTTAAAATAGTCATGTCACCAGGATACAAGAATATTCAGGATATTCTCACAGCTGATTAATAAAAGGTGCCGATTTACATCATTTTTACAATTTAGGGTATACATTTGCTCCTTTTTTACACCTACAGGGTATACATTTACTCCGTTTTGTAACTTAAGAGTATACAAGTGTCTATTGGGAAAACAATAGGGTATTTAAATGTAATTTAACCATAAGAAAAATTTATAAATCAGGCAAGATACTTGCAGAACTTAAGGAACAAAGTTAATTATCAGAAAACAAGGTTAATTATAAAAGCATCATAGTTTTCATGGAACTGGATATGCAACGATCTGCAAACATATAGTCTCATTTTCATAGAACCATTACAGAGCATAAAACACTGCATTCCTTAAAATAGTCCGAATAAACTAAGGGCGAGGCTGAAATTAAGATTGAGACCCTTGTTACCCTTTCACATGGTACAACTCATTCTTCAGCGGCACTGGCAGCACTCAAATCCACACTAAGATCAACATCCTGAAGAGAAAACAAAGTAAAAAAAAAAAAGATAACCCTATAATCATACAGCAAAAGGGATTTCTAAGATGCAAACGTCTAGAACTTTCTTGTTTTTTTCGTTTATTTTCATTAGTTATCAGTGTAGCCAACCATACGAGTTACCGCAAAATAAAATAGGAGAGAAAAATGAATCAAGCAGGTTTTTGCGCAAGGAAATGGGCAAGAGAAGAAAGCGTGCGCCGAAAGTCAATTGAAAGAAGAAACAAGAAACGATGTACTGAAAAGTAAATATGAAAAACAAGGATAACCAAGAGGAAAAAGGACCCGTATATTTTTTTTCCTGACCTGTCAATTTTTTACCAGCATTTTTTTTTTTTGTTTCATTTAGCTCTCTTTCGACTGCAACCCATGATGGTGTGAATAAACATCAAAATATATCCAGTGACGTAGCCTCAACCTCTCAGAGAAGAGGCAATAGTGTCACTTTTATCGGCTTGTGACCATAGTTGATTATTTACTTTAGTTGTGGTTAGAGCATCTCCAACAGCTTCCCCATTTCTCATTTTTGAAGAATTTAGTTAGGTTTTTGGCCCAACAGATTCCCCATCTCATTCCCCAAAATAGGGATGGAGGAGAAAAAATAGGGAAGCTTCCCCAAATCTGCAGCATTCTCCAAATTTTTAGAGGAAAAAATTAATTCTTCAAAATGGAGAAGCTGTTGGAGTTGGTGTAAAAATTAGTTGGAGAATATAACTTTTGCTTCCCTATTTTGGAGAAAATTTTGAAGAAGCTGTTGGAGATGCTCTTACTCTTAGTAACCACTAGCACGTCACATCATTATTTAAAAGGGAAAAAATTACAATCATGGGAGAAAATACGAAGACATTAAATTTTACCTTTCCAGTGATCATCTTATACATAGCTAGAACATCTGTCACAGTTGACTCGAAATGTGTTGTAGCATCATAACTCTACGTGCAAGGAAACAACTTGTCATCAACAATGTTAAGAATGAAAAGATAATGATTGAAAACTTACGGTTGAGATGAAACAGTTGTCCAGTGAGGGTTCATTAACAGGCACAAATCTGTCATAAGTATCAAAAAATATCTCATCTACTGGCCCGAGAAGATCAATCCCAGGTTTCAGTTCTGTTTCAGGGTGATCAGTCTCAGCTTCTGTTGATACAAATGCGATGAATTTTCCTCTCGGGGCAACATTGTGGGAATAAGAACAACAAAAGAGGTACCTGTCATACCATTTTATATTAGAATCAGAAACTTGAATTGCAGTCGCAATTCGGCTAGGACAAAAATATTAAATAAGTATGACCCCCAACACCTTCCTCTTATATTCACAGATATCAACTTATCAACTACTACATGTGGTCCATTTGCCAAAGGCTCAAGGAAGAGGGATCATAAGGGTTAACGAAATGGTGGTTAGCCCGTCCGTTAAGATTTGTTTTAATCTTTACAATCCTCTTTAGCATTCGTGAATAAAGAGGATACTATTTTCTATATCAATAAAAGAGCTATGTCTTGATCCACTGATAATCATATTTTATTATAATTTTATATCCTCATTATCTAGTTTATATGAATAAATTTATCACTAATAACTGTTTTTATCTTTAATTGCAGGTTAATAAAAAAAACCAATATCTCTTCTCTCAACAAAGCCCACTAATTAAATGAAGAACTCAAGCATGAATGCCCAAAAGAAAAAGAAATGCCAAAGAAGCCAAAGCCCAAAGCATAAAAGAAGAAGAAGCTGCGGATTGCAATTGTAGCGCACTGGGCATCGATGCCAGCATCGATGGCGACATCGATACCCCTATCGATGCTGGTATCGATACCATCGTCATTCTGTTACGAGTCTAAGACTGAAATTCATGATTTTTGGATAAGATTTCGATCTAATGACTCTCATTCACTGATGTTTACTACAAATAGGGATAGAGAGTGGGGGGTTAGGGGTGTGAAAAATTTAGTATCTCCTTTTGAAAAGGAGGATTACTCTTAATTGAGAAGATTTTCCAAATTTGTAACTTTTTGTTACAATTAATAAAAGAATTTTTTTCGCCACTTTAAAATTTTCTTCTCTTTGTTGGATGATAAAGATGGAGATGAACATTAATTTAGAGGTTTGTTTTTCTTATTTTCTCTTTTATTTCTTTTCTTATTGCTTAGTAGCTTAGATTTATTTACATGCTTGTAGTTAGATTTTATTTTCTTGTTTAAAAAGCCAAGAAACTAGAACCCTCTTGCCTTAGATTTATTTCATGCTTATAGAGTAGATTTATTTTCTTGCATTTAATTCTTGTAATTTATTTTATAGTTTAGATTTTACAATTTATTTTATAGTTAGATTTTAATTTCTTACACTATTCACATTGAGGCTAGAACCTTCTTGGGTTTAGTTTTTTTTTGTTCATTTTCATTTTCTTTGATTCGCTTTTAAGCTGGAACTCTCTAGGGAATCACTCTTTTCTAAGAAGTGGATTCAATTCAAGATTACCCATAATATCTTTAATTGAATCCGTCATCTTTACTTTCTTGAATTTTATTTTTATTCTTGATTTTTCTTTTTGATTCTTGATTTTATTCATCTCTCCTTGTGAAAATCATTCATTCATTGTCACACCCACTCTCACTTACATTTTGCGCCTATTTACACACCATTTTTATTCTCTCCACATTCACACTTATTCTTCACTCCTATTTCTCACGCACACAACATAAGAACCGATTTATATTTTCTCCTACAAAACACCTTCCTCGTGGGATCGATAACTTTTTATACTATAACTTGATTAGTTGTGCACTTACAACTTTTTGGTATATGTTTATGCCGCATTAAGTTTTTGACGTCGTTGCCGGGGAGGGTGTTTTAAGTAGGATTTTATTTAATTTGGTTCTTTAACTTGTGTGTTTTTTGTGAAGGAACCGTTTGGAGCTTGAAGATCGCGGATTTTGGAGATCTAGAACTTGAAAAATTGCTTTTAGATAACTCTTCTTTCTAGCATTTTTAATTCCACCCTTTTTAGTTAGCTTCACAATTAGAGACAATTAGGATAAAAAAAGGATTTTATTTTTTGTTGACCATAATAAAATTCACCTTTCACTTACATTAACTAACAAGGTAATAAACTCAAATAATATTCACCCTTCTCATAGTTGTTTGATTGTTAACCCTAATAAAAAAATACAAAGATTTTTTTTCCATCCTTTTTAGTCGCTTTTAATTTCTAGGGTTGCATTTCATATAATTAGTAGGAATTCACCAAAGTGATTTGAGCATCTTGATTTGGTACATACTTAAAAATATTTTTAAGGACAAAACCCCATAATCAAGATAAGGTGAGGGATTTCATCACCATTTACTTAGCCCAAAAATCACTAATTCCTCACTACACGATCCAAGCCTAATAAAACTCATTAGACGTTGGCCCTAAGGATTCGAGCTTAATAAGGAACAAAGAATCCTTAGGTGAACCGGTTTCAGTTTTTTTGGATTAGTTGGTGTCTAAGGCAAGGTATTTTGACCGATTTAAAGATCATGAATTTTAAAATTATCCCGGGAGAACTTTTTTGAAAGTATTTTGACCGATTTAAAGATCTTCTCATCCATTGTCCTCATCACGGTTTAGAAAAATAACGATTGTGCCAAATAATTTATGAGGGGTTAGATTATTCTTTAAAAACTTCCTTAGAGTCAATGTGTCACAGGGATTTCATGAGGAAAAACGCTGATGAAGCTTAGGAGTTTTTAGAGAGTCTTTCTGAAAAAACCATGCAATGGGAACACTGTGATGACCGAGTGTCATTAGTTCTCCAACCCAAGTCTAATGGTATTTCATTAGAGTCGAACATTGCATCTGAAGCTAAGATGGGCACAATCATGCGTAGGTTAGAAGCCTTAGAAATCAAGGAAAGAGCCCCGACTCAAATCAATCAAGTTTCAGCCTCAGGACGTCACAACTGTCTGTCACCATCTCATGTTTCAGAAGAATGTCCTCTTAGGAAATAATCAACCATTAGGACAGGTCAACGCTACATTCCAACCTTACGCAAATGATCAATTCTCTCCAACCTATAACCCAGGTTGGAGAAATCACTCAAACTTTGCATGTAATCAGTGAACTCACTCTGGAACTCAAAACTTCACTCTCTTCAAACCAACAATTTCCTAGGAGAAACACAGTTCCTTTCAATTCTCATCCACAATTTCAACAACCCAATCTGTCGCATCAAAATCAGTCTTCTTTTCATCAAGCTGTAATTCAGACTCATCATAATCCAGATCAGGATAAACGTCTCAATGTCTTGGAAAGGGGTTTGGAAACCATAATTAAGGCCTCTACTCAAACCACGAATTTGTTGTCTCAAACGTCCAGCACTCTGAATTCCTTTATGCAATCAACCGAATAAATGCTCAACTCCAACACTCAAGTTATAGCTAGATTAGAATCTCAACTTTGTCAACTAGCTAGTGTCGTGAGTGAAAGAGAGAGAGAAAAATTTCCGAGTCAACCCGTGGTCAACCCTAAGGACACAGGATGCAGTTCATTCTATGAAGCTCAAGTGAATGCAATCCATTCATTTCGGTCAGGTAGACAGGTCGATAATCAAGTGAGAACTCCAAGTCAAACCCTAGATCCAGTACAAATTCCTTCTCCTTCTCCTTCTGATGAATCTATTCAACAATCACACCCCTCAGATGACCAAGAACCTGAACCCGAACCTGAGCCTGCTTTTAATAGGTTTAGACTAGTTACTCCTTTTCCAGATAGACTCAGGCTTAGGAAACACTCCCCTCAAGAGGAGAAGATCCTAGAAACATTCAAGCAGGTTAAGATCAATATTCCTCTCTTAGATGTAATTGAACAAATTCCATCTTATACCAAATTTTTGAAAGAATTGTACACTACGAAGAGGAGAATAAATGTTCCAAAGGAAGTGTTTTTAGCCGCCAATATCAGTGATATGCTCTCAAATCCCATACCTTTGAAACGTAAGGATCCAGGTTCTCCTATCATTTCATGTGTCATTGATAATACTCATATTGATAAGGCGCTTTTAGATTTAGGGGCCAATATCAATTTGCTTCCATATTCAGTCTACCAGCAATTGGGTCTAGGTGTACTGAACCCAACCCACTGCACTTTACAGTTGGCTGATAGATCTGTCAAGATCCCTATGGGTGAGTTAGAGGATGTTCTGATTAATGTTGGAGATTTTATTTTTTCAGTAGATTTCGTAGACTTGGAAACACAGCTCGTTTCCAATCCCAAAGGACAGACATCTGTCATCTTAGGACGACCATTCTTAACCACTCCTAACGCTCTCATCAACTGTAGAACTGGTCAAATGAAGCTATCCTTTGAAAATTTGACTGCTGATCTTAACATTTTTAATCCAGAGGACCAACTGAATAATCAGCCTCTAAAAATAAATTACATTCAGGAAAGATCAAAAGAAGAAGAAGAAGAGTCTGATTTGAGTTTTGAGAAAATTTTTGATGAAGAGTTGGAGTTTTTAGAAGTAGATCAGGTCATTGAGAATGATGAAACTGTGTTAAATATTTGCTGCCTTGAATTAAATTTTGAAGAACTCTTTCTTGATGAACTTAAATTCTTTGAGAATAATCAACCAAATTTTCAGAACTCAACCATGAATCTTGGGGTTGAAAAAAATACTACAGAAGAATTGGTTGTTAAAAAACAAAAATTCACAGTACAAGAGTCTAAGTTCATTAAGAAATGCAAAATGCATGACACCAATAATACATACCTTACGTTGTTGCAAGAATTATTGAACACCTCGAAATGTTTGAAATTTCACATTATTGATTATATCATTCTGAATTTGTTTAAAATCCGAGAAAGAATTTTCAACAAAAATGTAGGATTCAATGTAGAATACGAGCTCTTCATGTTGAAACCCTTCATTCTATATTGTTTATTTTGTTTTATTTCAGAATAAAAAAAATTATTATTCTCTCATTCGAGAGTTTCTTATTCAGTTGTAAAAAAAAGAAAAAAAAAGAAAAAAAGAGGGAAAAAGAAAAAGAAGAATAATTTTTTCCATCCTCCTCAAACCAAAGGTAATTGCAGATTTTTATCAGCCAACCAAATGTAAGTATTTCACTTCTTATCTGCTTTGCTTTGTGCATCATAGAGTTTGCATTGAGGACAATGCAAAATTTAGGTATGGGAGTGGGAATTAGTTATTTTTTTCTTTATTTTACCTTTTTAGTTGCATTTTTCTATTTTCCTTAAAAAAATTATAAAAATATTATCACTTGCCAAATTAATAGAGTTATGTAATAATTGATTTATTTGATAAATTTTAAATTTTCTAATCTTTAGTTGGTTATTTACTTAAGTTCATCTTTTATGATAACTCTAAATAAATTTCTTAAGAAATAATTTTCAAAGTAGTATACTTTACTTAAGCCTTAACTTAGATTTTTATTTAAAATAATGGAATTTATGCAGGCTTAGCTTAGAGTTAAAAATAAATTTTCAAAGTATCCTGACTTACATATTTTTCAGAATATATATACATATACATATAAAAAAAATTTGCAAAAGAAGAGTGCGAAAAATGAACACCAAAAGAAAAAAAAAAGAACGAAAGAAAGAAAAAAAACTCTTGAATTCAAGGTGATTCTATCTTAGCCTAAGCTGACCGAGTAATTAAGCTCAAGGAGTATTTTCATACTTAATGACCTAAGCCTAATTGGGCTGGGATCCATTAGTCCAAAACTCGTTAAATGGTCGCTTAAAAAGCCCGTTAAAGTAGAAAAAAATCACCAAGAAAAAAAAAGTATTGCTATAATGAGAAGATTTTCTTGGAAGTTTACCTTAGAGTTATATATAAAAATATTTTCTTGAGTGATAACTGGCTTCAATTAGATTGTCTAAAATTATCAAGTGAATTTAGTTATTTACAGACTTCTTTAATTTGGCAAGTTGACTGAATTTTGTGGGTATATTCACTGTAAACCCTCACGAGACTACAACTCGTCCACTAGGGTAACCTAAGGGTTTAAAGGCTTATTGTATGCGCTAAATACAACCGCGATTCCTGCGAAAGTGAGTTGGGTTTTCTTTTCTTTTTCTTTCTTTACTAGAGGACTAGCAGAAGTTTAGGTATGGGGGTATTTAATAATCATATTTTATTACAATTTTATACCCTCATTATCTAGTTTATATGAATAAATTTATCACTAATAATTGTTTTTATCTTTAATTACAGGTTAATCAAAAATAAAAACCCAATATCTCTTCTCTCAACAAAGCCCACTAATTAAATGAATAACTCAAGCATGAAAGCCCAAAAGAAGAAGAAATGCCAAAGAAGCCTAAGCCCAAAACATAAAAGAAGAAGATGCGGATTGCAATTACAGCGCACTGGGCATCGATGCCAGCATCGATACCCCTATCGATGCTGGTATCGATGCCATCGTCATTCTGTTACGATACCCCTATCGATGCTGGTATCGATGCCATCGTCATTCTGTTACGAATCTAAGGCTGAAATTCATGATTTTTGGATAAGATTTCGATCCAATGGCTCTCATTCACTGATGTTTACTATAAATAGGGGTAGAGAGTGAGGGGTTCGGGGTGTGAAAAATTTTATATCTCCTTTTGGAGAGGAGGGTTACTCTTAATTGAGAAGACCTTCCAAATTTGTAACTTTTTGTTACAATTAATAAAAGAATTTTTTTTCACTACTTTAAATTTTTTTTCTCTTTGTTGGATGATGTAGATGGAGATGAAGATTAATTTGGAGGTTTGTTTTTTTATTTTCTCTTTTAATTCTTTTTTTATTGCTTAGTAGCTTAGATTTATTTACATGCTTGTAGTTAGATTTTATTTTCTTGTTTAAATAGCCAAGAAGCTAGAACCCTCTTGTCTTAGATTTATTTTATGCTTATACATTAGATTTATTTCATGCTTATAGAGTAGATTTATTTTCTTACATTTAATTCTTGTAATTTATTTTATAGTTTAGATTTTATAATTTATTTTGTAGTTAGATTTTAATTTTTTATACTATTCACCTTGAGGCTAGAACCCTCTTGGGTTTAGCTTTTCTTTTTGTTCATTTTTATTTTCTTTGATTCGCCTTTAGGCTAGAACCCTCTAGGGAATCACCATTTTCTAAGATGTGGATTCAATTCTAGATTACCCGTATCTTTAATTGAATCTGTCATCTTTACTTTCTTGAATTTTATTTTTATTCTTAATTTTTCTTTTTGATTCTTTATTTTATTCATCTCTCATTGTGAAAATCATTCATTCATTGTCACACCCACTCTCACTTACATTTTGCGCCTATTTACACACCATTTTCATTCTCTCCATCTCTTCACAATCACACTTATTCTTCACTCCTATTTGTCACGCACACAACATAAGAACCGATTTATATTTTCTCCTACAAAACATCTTCCTCGTGGGATCGATAACTTTTTATACTATAACTTGATTAGTTGTGCACTTGTAACTTTTTGGTATATGTTTATGCCGCATCACCCACCTAAAGAGGTGGATTAGTAAACCCCTACTTTGAAGGGTTAGCTCATTTTGATCATTCTGGACGTTTTTTAACTTCTTTGTTCGAAAAATTAAGGCAAGTTAACTCAATTTATACCATGATTAGGTTATTATTATTATTATTTTTTTTTTTTTTTGTGTTTCACAGGTTAAGGCAGGGTTATTCTCTTTAACCCATCATTTGGCCCATCCTAAGGTCAACACATTATTCTTCAGAGAACTAATGAAAATTGTTCTACACTTAAAATCTTTAACTTAACATTGGATCATTCCCATGATTTTCCAACATCATTTATTTGTTGATAGAATATTTGTTAGTTTCAGTACTTACTAAGGGTTGATAGGTAAAACAATCAATAAATTAACACTCAGCTCAAAGAAATACTTCTCGTATTTGATCAGAAAAATTGTTAAAAAGTCATTTAATGTGAATAGATTACAATTATGATAATAATGGTCACAGCCTCACCTAACCTCCTCTGCTAACAGATTGGCAGATCTTCTCTTCATCTGATGGTTCATTTCATTACAATTTAAAAAGTGCATGGATTTTTCAGTCAGGAATAAAAAACTTTCTTACTGAGCACGACATAAAAATTCAGCAAATCTTTAGCCCCGGTGTGCATCAAGATCTGGGAAATGGTGCTATGTTATTTCATTTGCACTCAACGAACTTTTAAAAATTAAGTATAACTCCTATAGTGCTGGAGTCGTGACACGTATTGATTATTACGAAGCTATCAACTATATATGAAACAACTTCTGAAAGTAAGATGATGAATAACAACTTCTGAAAGTAAGATGATGAATTTACTATTAACCCTTCAATCTCCAGGAGGCACCACAAAATGCAAAGGAAGAACACTCACATGTCTGACTTGCGTCCGAGTTGCTTCTGGGGCAGTATAACCTGAACAGATTGAGAGTCACTGGTGTTTGGAATGGGATGACTCATAATAGCAATAGCCCTTGCAACCTTTCCGATCTTCCTAACCTACAGACAATAATAGAAATGTGTATCAGTATATTTATATTAGCAATGTATTGACCCCTACCAATAAATTTTCAATGTAATCTTGGAATATTGATTTCTACATAATTTTCAATAACTAACCTTGTTTGGTAAGTAAGAAGGGTCACAGACAACTTTCTTGCATTTGGCTGTTTCACCTTCTGATGTCACACCACAAACTTGTCCTACTTCATTGAATTCAACCTGAAATAAAAAGAAGGATCATGTAGTAAGCATAATATAAATATTTACATAACATTCAATATCCGACTTTCCAAACTATGAATGTACTATGTACAAATTATACAAGTAGAATACCTTGCACTCTGGTTTGTTCAACATGTATGTCCCACCATAAACAGCACTGAGACGTGCAAATGCCTGTATTGCATCCAGCAAGCATTTTCAAGTAAGAGGGTGAACACTCAAATCTTTCTACAAATTCCACTGAAATTAAATGAAATGACTGACTTGTGGAAGCTCTCCCAAACCATACAAAGGATATATGTAAGGTGACCCTCCTTGAAAACGTGCTAGAGATTCAGCATAGAGCTATCACATCATAGATAAATATTAGTTGCACATCATGTCTATTCCCTGCATCATTATCCCAAAAATTTTTGCCAGGGGGCCTCACCTTCATCCTTTTTACAGTATCAACAGCAGGTTCATCCAGATATCTGTCATCTCTGTGGAGTGCTAATGCATGACCAATAAAGTCCACTGTGTTGTCATCCAAACCATATTTCCTGCCTCAGAAAACCGTTGCAGGATAAGTTGTATGTAAGTACAGTAAAATATTTTGATAGACAAGCTTGCAACCAGTAATACTCTCATTTAATTCTTGCAATAAATATTATTTTCTTTCATACAGGGACTAAGTGACAAATACAAAAATTATGAGGAACATGCATGGAAAACAAATTTGCTTCAGAGTTCGCATAGATGATAAACAAAAGTGGTCAGCAATATTCAAATTTTATGCCATAAAATCTACACATTTTACTTATGGAACAATGGAAACCGTGCTCACAATATAATTCATATATTAATAAGAATGAAGTCCAAAGTTTCCTTTACTAGGAAGAATTAAGTTACAACAGTCAGCATCTAGCGACTGTGGTGTTTGATTGAAAGTGCACGAGAACCATCACAATTCAAACAATAAGAATCCACTCAAACTAGATGCACTTTCAATCGCACCTGGGGTAAAGTTGTATTCAAACTTTTTAGAAATTGGATTGGTCTTGAGTTGATAAAAATCAAAGAGACTGGATGAGTTACGATTGACATCAAACCTAGAACCTGACAATAAATCACGCCGGACTGATGAAAGACATAATAAAAAGTATGCAGAGAAGTACTTTCTAATACAATGTAGTTATAGCACCGCATGAAATTAAGAGTAAAGAAGGCAAGACTCATGTTACATACGAAATCAGTTCTCTAGTAGTCACTCGTGTGAGGTCCAATCCTTCATGAGTTCTTGGGTCTGTTTCATTATAATCTTGGACATATATGAAGAATTTTCTTGCTCTCCGCTTCTCAAATAAACCCATCAATGGAGACTTTAGTGCCTCCATATCAGTTGCAGGGACCTTGTGAACCTAAGTAATGATATAAATGATAGCAGACATAAGCCAAGTACTAGCAACAGATAACAATTTAAGTACACTAGGTATGAAGTTTAAACAACAACTATACCTTCCCTTTATTGAAGACAAAGCTTCCATCTACAGCTTTAAACGACAGATACTTTGTAACATCGGTATGGATAAGTACACGAACCAATGTACCATTTGCCATCATGAACTAGCCAAAAAGAAGGAAAATTGTTAATTTGGATATTCAGTCAATAAACACGATAAAGCATGAAGCTGCAACCAGTAATAGCCAAAATTGTTCTTCAAATATCCATCTAGCTAAGTACAACTCAAAGAGTATCATGTCCATTTCATCCCTCTTACAGAACTATACCATCCCCATTCTGTCCTCAGGCCTCTTCCCAAATTGTAGAAGACAAAATGTTAAAATAATTATAATAATAATAATTGTTCTACTTCAATCAATTATCCATATTAATAATCATAAGTTGGACCTGACTGTAACAAACTTCCAATTATAGTGATTTCAGTACATTATGCCAGATTGTTTGGACTTGGATCCTTCCATGTAACTTGCAAAATTGAGTTTATTGGTCTCTACCATTAGGCTCCCTTGAACTTCCAAGGGATTAAGACCATTCGGATAGACTGTCTCATCCAACAAAACTAAGAAAATTGTCCATAAATCAACCAAGAATTGACATCTTGAAGACCATTCCCAATGGGTGTAAACATGAAATCTAAATCTCTCTACAGAGGAACCACTTAGTTTTTGCGTTCCCATATGTATCCAGTCCAAAAAAGAGCAAGTTAATGAAACTCGAGGTTCAGCTCAAGTTTGCCTCCGTAATCAGGTTGGTTTGATAACCGAAATGAAATAAGCTTGAACCAAATATAGTCATTAAGATAAATGAACAAGATTAAGGATAACTAGGCTCCTGTCATGTTCAATCTTGATTTGCTAACAGCTCTTATAGGCTCAAGATTGGCTCGAATTGAGTTTTCCATAACAAGGATTAAGTAGACTGGGATTGAGGTTGGTTCCTCTGTTGATATTAGTAATTGTATTTCTGTTTGGTTTAATGGTCAAAAGCTGCCCATTATCACAGTATCCAATCAAGTTTCTAGTGTGCAATCCCCTGATTGCTGTACAAGCCCATATCTTGACAAAGATCATCCTATATCTAATGTAAAAATGTAGTCATCTTATTCATCTCTCAAAGAAACAAAAAAAGGTATGCAATCAAAGAAAAATTGAATCACAAGTCTAATATTTCAATTATGAATTGTTTGGCATATCAACTAAATTTTTTAGCAATAGATATAATCATCATTGCGTGGAATCCGACTTGTTCTAGTTCACGGGATGGGTACGAAAGCATGGCATGCCACTCATTAGGAATCAGGTACAACGTGGTTAAGCTTATACGATATGCCAAGGAACGTGGGATGCTTTAGGTTCGGTTTTTAAATGTAGGAATCATAGGTTTTGCAAGTCAAATTTAAAACATATGGTAAAAGAACAATGAAAATCATGTTGCAATTAAGGTATGCATATTTTATTTGCTTAACTTCTCATGTTTTTTTATTCTTTTACAAAAGAGTTACTCATTTTCAAAATTGTATCTGGTTTGAAATCTAAATCAGGTCGCTGAAGTTAGTGAATCAGGACGTGTTCCACGTGAATCTGGAATGACTGAACCCAGGTCGCAGTTCGCTATAACATCCCACATTCCCGACTTCGGTGGGTGTAATCATTGGTAAAACAAGGTCACTTGAACGTAAAGTGATTGTTATCAGATATATTTCTTAACTAATATATAGTTTTCACATTATATGTTAAGATTTATTATTTAATGCTATAACACATCCCCACATATTCATTTGCTCAATTCTTCATATATTAATGCTTATATTAGTTCAGTATACATTTCAGAAATATGTTTGCTTTAGTTTGCATCGGATTAGAAATGAGCTACAAAAGTCTGAAAGTTTGATTAAAGCTGAACGCAGGCTTGTTGAAAGCTCGATCAAACTCATTTGATAATGCAAATGAACCAAGCTTGAATTAAGAATAAAGCTCCTTATAATAATTCAACAGTGATAGTCTAAAGCTCAACTTATACAAAAGCCCTAGTACTAAATTGCATACGTATAAAATTTGTTTCAAACATATAGGACATTCACCATCTATATTCAGCTGTGCAGTGCAGGAACCAAGAGTCCATCTCATGTTGTTTCAGAAATTTTGGATGATTTCAAGCTCCAACTTCAGCTAAACATTGTTGTAAAATCCACATAAACCCTGTTTCAGCTGCAACTTCTCCTGGAAGCTTTCCTATTCTTCAAGATTTTCAAGTATATGTCTATCTTCTTGTCTTTAAATTTTATTGTTGACGTACAGTTCAATTGATCCTTTCCTAATTCTTTTATTAGGCATCAAATCTTTTACTTCCTTGTTGATTTCAATTTTTCTTACTGCATCAGCTCTTCTTCAGTTTTCAAATGAAACTCAGTCACTTTCCACATAATTAGTTAAAGCCTTTGAGCCTGAACCCTGCGTAGCTCTTCGCTCCTGGTCCCGCTCTTTCTACAAAATTTAAACCTGATCAACCATAGATCCATAACTGAACCTTCTAAGACTTTTTTTATTTTAAAGAACAGTTTTAAAACATGTTAACAACAATGTTCAAGGAAAAGCTTCAGCATGCAATTTACTACAAAGGACAAAGGGAGGTGGCACATGAGATTTATACATACGATTATAGAAGGTGCAATTAGGTGTTGCTCATTTTTTAAAACAGCCAACAAGCACAATTCCTAAAATAGATTTTAGAACAATTGTGAAATTTTGTGCTGTTAGAAGACAAGCATTGTTGAATCTGTAAGGCTTAAACAACAGGATATACATTTAGATAAATCCAGGAGTCATGCCAGGATGGGTGACCGTAGGGGTACCAAACAGGTCGGATCGGGTCAATAGGGTCAGCACCGCACCCAATTATTTAAATGGGTTACCTGATGAGTGACAGGTCACTCAGTTTCCTAACAAATTTTAACCGGGTTATCACTGAAGAGACAACAGGTCATTCAGTGTCAAGTACTTATATTAATCAACAACAGCTGTACATTTTCAACTCTTAAAAATTAAAACCATGAGCCAAACACGAACTTCAAATCTCTATGATGATACTAAGGTAAAAAAAGTAAATAGTACTGAGGGAAAAGAAAAAGTTTAAATGAGAAGGCAACAAAAGAAAGAACCTTCGCAACTTACAAATTACAAAAATCTTACTTCTTGAAAAAATTCAGCTACACAAGACTAATATTATTCAATCTCATAACATTTATGAAGTTCAAATTTAAATGTTTTGCCCCACTTAGAGAAAATCATGTGCCCAAAACACCTTGGACCAAAAGACACCTTGGACCAAAAATCATGTGCCCAAATCATGCCCCCTAATGTCACTTTACACCTCACCCCTCTTTTTTGTTTCCACTATTATCTTTTTTGTCTTCATCGTCATTTCTTTGTCAACTTTCCTTTTTATCATCTTCTTCTTTCCTCCTCTTCTCCTTATTTCTTTCTTTTTCTTCTGAATAATTCTAAAATAACATTTTCTTCAACTTCTCATCTTCCTTCTTCCTTACCTCCTCCTCCTTCGACCCCTCCACCTCCACCTTCATGCTGGCTACCCCACACCCCCGGGCA